CAGTACCTGTGCCGTGGACCGGTACCTCTACTTAATTAGAGGCACAAAGAGAGGCGTCAAGCATACTTGTTCATAGAAACCAGCTTCTCATCATCGTACCCTGGCATAAGTTTACTTCACGCAAACACTAAGTCCGACCACACCATGACTTCATTCCAAGGCAAAGTTGTAAGTCGGGCAAACTACCCACTTCCTTGGATAGCATGCTCATGTAACCCTCGCGTAGATCGCTATTACCGGCGCCGGCTCCGGCATGGGCCTGTCAACGGCCCAGCTCCTAGCCTCCCGCGGCGCTAAGGTTTCATTGGCGGACATCAACGAGGACTCTCTCAAGGAGGCAATCTCGTCTCTCGAAGATAGTGCAAGCCACATGTACGAAGTAGTCGATGTAAGGAAAGGTGATGTCGTCAGTACCTGGATTCAAAATACGGTGAAAAAGTTTGGCAAGCTAGACGGTGCCGTCAACATGGCTGGCGTCATTACCCATGCCACACCTGTTGCAGAGCTTACAGACAAGGACTGGGATTTTGTCTTTGAAGTCAATGCCAAAGGCGTCTTCAACTGCCTGAGGTCACAACTAGGAGCCATGTCTGACGGAGGCAGCATCGTAAGTTTCTTCTCTATTGCTCTATATCCGACTCATATACCGGCTGCCAGGCCGTTCGAGCGACAGTCTCTGGCTACAAGTATTTCAGAAGCTGATATGATGCGTTTCCATCGTAGGTATCTGCAGCGAGTGTGTTTGGTCAATTTGGCGCTCCTGGCAACGCCGCATACTGTGCTAGCAAGGCAGCCGTAATTGGGTTGTCAAGAACAGCAGCCAAGGAAAATCAAAACATTCGCGTGAATTGCGTATCACCTGGTAAGTCGTTCCTTCCCTGACACCCCCCCCCCCCTTACGAAATCATCTGCTTCAAAAAAATTGCAAATTGGCGACAGTACAGAACCAAGCTAATGATGTTCTACAGGCTCTGTCAACACGCCACTGTCTCGTGGAGAAAATCCAGAAGATGTGAAGCGTGGTTTACAGGTAACCGCACAGAAGAGAAGAGCAGAGCCCATCGAGATTGCACGCGTTATCGCGTTTCTTCTTAGTGATGAGGCTTCTTTTGTCACAGGAGCTGTATACAATGTTGATGGCGGTTGGGTATGCTAAGCATTGTGCTGTTGGATTTCTCAATAGGCCTTCTCTTCGGCTCGATCTCTGAATAAGACTTATGCTTTTCTTTAACGAATTTTGAACTTTCTGCATAATACAACGCGCAATCATACCACAGCAGAATAGAACTTTGAAGTCACAGTTATACTTAAGTTCATGGACGCCTCAATGCCTTCACCTGATCATGTGCGTTCTTGGCGAACAAGGACATCCGCGTAGCTCTTGTTTCCGTGGGTCTGAAGAAGCATCAACCTGGCCAAAAGACTCTCTTATCATCGGAGCATGTGAAATCCGAGGTCTCTTGGACGTGCTTCACAACGTTATCAGCGGACGACTTTCTGGCTTCTCGTCAATATGGACTGAGATTCGTCAACGCTTGACGTCAGAAAACAGATTATTGGCTTGTGATACGGTTGGAAATCTGGCCTTTCGATGATATATGTTGCAGGAAGGGGCAAAGCATCTTGCTAGAAACTGTGCCTTGACAGATAGGTAATCAGGGATTGCCAATCCCATTTCACAGTGCTGTCCTTGACGTTCGATGCTGAACTTCGTCTTGAGTCCGATGTGGTAGTCATGCAATTCAAAGACTTGTCACGTAGTGGATTTAGTCGAAATCAGAATAGTAATCCTGCTTTTGAGGAGTCTTGAAGTTCTCTCGAATAAGCTGTCGAAGGAAACAAAAGCGCCTGGCTTTGTAACACTCGATTAATACATCATTTGTCTGGTGGAGTCAAGATAACACCTGAAACTGGAAGCACCGAACTCTCTCAAGAATACGAATTATTCTTACCCATGATTCCAGAGAGGAATGAATGAGTAAAGGCGGACTTCTATTACAGCAGATTGAAGGGGGGAGACCGATCCACCTCGCATAAAGCCCCCTCTGTTGGACCTCGGTCAGACACAGGACCGTTGTCCAGACCATTCCAGTGCGAACAACGGCAATAGTCTAGCCTCCCAATTTCCCATCAGGGCGGATACTAAAGTTTCAGATCATGGTAAGACTATTAGAAAATACCACAAATCCCGTTGATGCGCCAACTCGGCCTGCATACGGATCGCCCGGCGCGGCTATCTCTGAACTCATCGATTGACACATCAGACAGTCTGACAAGTGATGGACAGACTTCAGATCGGCTAGCTCCGCTGTCAAGCCCGAACCCTTGGCATCACGTTTATTGCCCGATGAGTCGCAAGACAGAAAAAAACTTGAGACAGATTTCGCAAAGTTTACACAATAGGGAATAGTTCCAGTTCATCAGGTCATCCATGTCTACCCACTCGACTTGCATTGCAGAAACCTGGCGTGCGCCTCCCCTCCTCCACCCCCAGACAACCCACCTGTTGTGCTTACATACCCCCCAAGTACCGGCCGGTTTGCGCATGCAGGCTGCACGACTCCAACGGTCGCTCAGCTTGGCTGTTTCTCTTGGCCCTCGACGGGCAAACCAATAAGAACCTACCATTGACCTGAGTCGTCGACTTTGCAACTCTGACTATGCTGCACTCAATCTGACTCCCTATGTATGCGTCGCCCGAAGCGACCTAGTCCGGCCTCTCAGAGCCGAGGCATCCAACGTTGTCACCAGGTGAGGCGTTGCGGGGTGCTGCGGGGGGCACTTCGAGATTGCAGCTCTCTACCGGCTTGGGTCAGTGTGTCTTGTTACTCCAGAGCTTGGATCGGGCATAACCAAGAGAACCCTTTTGGAGAGAGTGGAGTAGATTCTGCGACAGATTGGTAAAGTGGTAACCTCCTATCCATTGAGTCTCCAATAAGGCTCTCGGACTATACCAAGCGCGGAAACTTTTGGTAAAGGGGGACATAGCCGTTTCTTGTTGGACGAGACACATAGTCGAGTTGTGCTCACCAACAGACACATCCCTAGGACAATAGGACGATGGGGGCTAATTCGAGGGGCATCGTAAGCGGGCATATCCCCCCCTCCCCTCATTCCAACATCACCTCTATGGCCTCTCTACAAGTCATCCAAGTCTTGTCCCGAGGTTTCTCGCACTCTGCTGCAACCAAACAGACTCGCGGAGGTTCCTCCGAGCCATTCCCAATTCGATGTCCTGTCGCGAAATGGCAGCTCAGCCAGCTCTCACGTGGCATCGCTGTTCCTTGGAATTCTTGAACGCATCTAGCTTCACCGACTCCATGTCCTGAACTTCTCCGACGTGGGGAAAATGGCTTTGAGATTCAAGATGCGACTGGCGGATGAATCCAACGACCGTCACCGTCTCCACGATGTGATCATTCATCGAGCCCGGTTGGGAGAAAGGTAGCGCCGACTTCTGGATGTGCTTCACCAACAAGACCGGCCAGGCGTGTGAGTTGCGAGACATGGATTGGGCACATTCTCTTAGCATCGAGGATGTTCAAGCTGTAGATGATCCATCAGGGAACACCAACCTCGAAAACAAGATAAATAGTCGAGCAAGATCCCACCGGTAGACTCTTGATATCTTCGTTTCATCAGACTCAAGCTCTCGCTCAGAACCTGAATCCTCCTCTCCTTCGCTCAAAGCCTAGTAGCCAGCCCGCTCTCACTTGAAGACCGTTCCCAATTTCCGGACTCAAAACAACATCCAAAATGAAGTTCTTCAGCATCCTCTCCCTCGCCGTCACCCTCGCCGCCGCGGCACCAGTCGAAGTCGTCGACACCGGCGTCGCTGACCTCCAGGTCCGCCAGACGGGAGCGACCAGCAACGAGCTCGAGTCCGGCAGCAGCTCCGCCTGCCCCAAGGTCATCTTCATCTTCGCCCGCGCCTCCACCGAGCCCGGCAACATGGTAAGCCGACCAAACTTCTTCCACGTGAGCTAGTAAAAAAGGCCTTTCCCAAAACCTAACCTCTATCCATAAACAGGGAATCAGCGCTGGCCCCATTGTCGGCGATGCCCTCAAGAGCCGCTACGGCTCGAGCCAAGTCTGGGTTCAGGGCGTCGGCGGACCGTACAGCGCCGACCTGGCTTCCAACTTCCTCCCCGAGGGAACCAGCACCGTCGCCATCAACGAGGCCAAGAGGCTCTTCACCTTGGCCAACACCAAGTGCCCCAACTCCGCCGTCGTGGCTGGCGGATACAGGTTAGTGAGGCCTTGCAGACGTCTCCCTTTTTTCCCTTTGCCTTCTGCTAATGTGGCTCGTTGAACAGTCAGGGAACCGCCGTCATGGCCTCGTCCATCTCAACTCTGAGCTCGACGATCCAAAACCAGATCAAGGGCGTCGTCTTGTTCGGCTACACCAAGAACCTCCAGAACCTCGGCCGCATCCCCAACTTCCCCTCGTCCAAGCTGTCCGTCTACTGCGATGTCGCGGATGCCGTATGCTACGGTAAGCAAGCCTGCTTCCCATCCTCAAAGACGTCAGAGAAGCCACTAACACGTCCAGGCACGCTCTTCATCCTGCCCGCGCACTTCCTCTACCAGACTGACGCGGCTGTTGCCGCCCCTATCTTCTTGGCTGGTCGCATCGGTTAAGGAGCTCGAGGACGCAATCAGTTCCGGATCGACCGTGATCCGGATGCAGTTGGCTTTGGTCGAGAAGGATTGTGAAGAGAAACTGTTGGCGCATCGATTTCTGTGAAGGACGGGACTCGCTTGCTGGAGTCGGAATCTGAAGCTGGGCAGCAGAATGGAATATGGAAGGCTCGGGTTGGATTGCTGGAGCATGATACTCACTCATTTGTTGTCGCTCATTTTGTTCCTATTATCTTTCTTGCCACTCACTTAGTTTAGCTATTTCATGCTTCATGAACACCCTGACGATGGACGAAATGCAAAGGATATTCTTATTGTTGCTAAATGGGTATCACTGAGTCATTATGTTAAAACAGATGCTATGCCAGAGACGTTGCGCCAAGTTTCATGCTTTCTTCGACCTGCCCCGAAGGAAGGCTGCGTGCCGTTGAGCGTGGTATTTTACGTCTGCCGGGTGCAGCGGGTTGTACACGATCCGGCATGTCTTACACTCCATAAAAGTAGGTTTCGACGAGAGATTGATGGTCGTCTGAACAGTCGGAACAGGTTTTGATCGGGAGGGAGGTTTCTTCGGCCTAGCCTGGTTTTCGATCTTTCCGAGGTCGGGAAGCTCGTTCAGTTTGTTTTCGTCGGCATCTTGCAGCTCTGGGGCGCCTCGTGCCCTCGTCCTGCGAGCGTGGTATGGTTTCCGTCCAACAACAATACAACTTTCTTCATTCTCGTCCTTCTCACCCTCCAAAGGGTCCGACGAATGTGACAGTGGCGTGCTGTGTCGTAGCCTCAGACGACGGGGTTCCTTGATCTTTCTGAAAACGGGAGGTGATGAAGGCGGGGTGTTGACCAGCTTTTCCGAGTCGGACAAGGGGTCGGAGGCTTCAGTGGCCGAGCTTGATCGGCAGGGTTTGAAGTAGCTTAGGATCGAACTCTTGGGTATACTGCTTGATGGCGGTGCAGATTGAGCGGGAGGAAGCTGTGGGAGGTCTGGCGTCCGCGTTGCTGGTTCGATCTCGGGTTTGCGCTTCTTGAACAGGACAGAGCCGACTTCTTCATCAGCGGCGCGCGTGCGTTTGCTGTAGGTTTTGAGGGTTCGTCTGCAAGACGTCAGTTTGGGTTGACATCGACACTCGCAGCAGGTCTCATACCTCTTGTTGGCTGTTGTTCTTGTAGAATCGGGTCCAGACCGCTGGCTGTGTTGCTTGGTGATTAGCGACATTAATGGAGATACAATGTCCATAGAAACGCGAACCTGGTGTCTGCGATTTGATTCATGCCTTCAGCCAAGGCAGTGAAAGTACTTGTTGGACAGAGAGATGTGCCGAATGTCAGGCGCATGTAGATGGGTGTGGTGATACGCGACGCGCGCGCTCAGAGCTTCGCGCGGGAGAGAATTCGGCGTGATAATAGAAGCTGATTACAGTCGAAACGAAGTGAGAGAGATAGCCGAGACGGACCAAAGGACTAGGAAACGATTGAAAATCACAGCATCCGAAAGACAGGTCAACAAGGCCGAGGCTGAAGAGAGATGCATAGGCAGTGATCGGGCCCAGACCGGGGGGAACATCCAGGCCCCACCTGGAGCGCGTCGCGCTGATTGACGTGCGGCGACGCGTCCAGTCGCGCACACCAAAACTCTCCCCACGCCATCACGTGTATTAGATTGCTTTCTTACCTATGACGGAGCTTCTCGACAGAGTACTACTCAATTTTGACAAACATGGTTCCAGAATCCCGGGCAACTGGTAATAACCTACAAAGGCCGTTTTAGGACATTCTCTGGCCTTACATGGGGATGTCGCAACAGCACGCCTTGCAGCGGTTTGTCGGCACCTCTTAACGTTGCAAGTGATGCTGCCAATATTTTCTCATTTCGTAAATTCTACTCCCTACGAGACCTACGAGAGCCCCTTTAGTCTTCGTCGTATGCCTTCGTCTGTATCTTGCGATTTGGTATCAAGAAGGATAGTCGATTCTCCGGCTGGCTCGCCCTTGCTCTCCTTATCCAGTACCCACGACTGCATCACCTCTCTGATTTCTTCCGGTTCTTTCATCTTGGACTTGGCCTCCCCTATCCTCCAAACATAGCCCGAGTACACGGCGACCTCTGCTATCAAGACTAGAATGGCGCCTCCAAGCGTCAAGAATATTCGGGCAGTGACATTCCACCATCGAGCTGCTATCCAGATGGTGGCCGCGACACCAATGATGCTTATGAGAAAGTTGAGAATGACCATCATCTGCTTCTGCACGTCCCCGAGCGTCACTTCGTCATCGCCGTTATCTGCTTCGTTCATAGGGCGGTTTACTTCGGCAAAGGCGTGTGCTCGGGCAGCGGCGCTGGGAAACTGCTGGGAAAAGGCCTCCATTCGGGACGGTTGCTTCATCATTCGCTGGTATGTTCGTTCTTCTTCCTCGCGTCGCAGGCGGGCCATCAGGGCTTTGTACTCGGCGGACTGTGAAGGTATGGTCAGCGACTCGGAGCGACTTAGAGTTGGCCGTCTTGACGTACTGGTTCAGGCTTTGGAGGTGGCGGGGGTGTGTAGACCCTGGCGCCTCGCAACAGTCCCTCCAAACCGAATCCCTCGATGCCTTCCGTCTTCAGACTTTTCCACAAATCTAATATCTGGCTGTGCGTGATGGGGTCTCCGATCACATAATCGCCAAGAGTCGGCTCTTCGGCTTTGGCTGTCGCCGCAGTCTTGCTGACAGTACCTGCTGTGGTTTCCTGCTCTGTGTCCTCTGGTGTCGCCGCGATTCGCCGTCCGAATCTGACCTCAGCCAGCTTCTGTTGACCTTCGGCTACGGCGGGTGTTATCGTCAATCGTACCATGGCTGCTGATGTGATTGTGTCGCCTCTACGAGGTCATCTCGAAGCGATGTGCTCGTAACTTGGTGATACTTCAAGACATGCAGTGCCAACGACTAATTTGGTCAGACGCGGTCAAATCGGGGTAATAATGCGGGCGTCGGGTCGTGCCTGCCACACTCGATGCAACGACAACGACCGAGGCAGCCACAGCAGCTTACTGCGTATGATAGCTCCTGCTCCAATGGAAGCTCAAGTTATGGGCCATTGAACCAATCAAAAGACCAGGGCCCCACCATTCTTCTCCAAAGATACGTATCGCCTGGGTCCGCTTTTCCCCCTGCCTTAGGTAAGGGGAGTACAGGAGTATCCGTACCCCGTACCACCAAAGGGAAAGACCGGATCTGCTGCGCAGCTGCTGTGGCTTGAATTTCTCGCCGCGGGAGGGAAGGACAGGAAAAAAAAAGTCATCGCCTTGTACCATCTACCCGCCTTTGGCTGCCAATTGCCTCAACCACGAATCTTGAGCACGGTCTACTTAATCCAGATGCTGTCGGACTCTTTCGCGATTCTTTTGACACTCTTTTGATTCCCTCCAGATCACTATAGGAGCCATGCAGCTCCGTACGGGAGCAGCGGTGCTGCGCAGCACTTCGATAACGTCACGATCTATCCTCTCCTCCTCTTCCTCCCGATGTTCGCAATGCCGACGAATTACTCCCCTCGATGCCCGGATACCTCATACCACTGCCCTCTACCACTCATCCTCGAGACGGTCTTCAGCATGGGGCGCCGCTGTGTCTGTTGCGTCCAACATGGCTGCGAATGCCGTCAACCGCGTGATCCCCAAGGGTGACATGCACATCGACCCTCTGCGGACAGTGGCCAAGGAGATGAAGTTCTTGACGGGTAACATCCGGAAGCTTCTTGGTTCTGGTCACCCGTCTCTGGATCGCGCCGCAAAGTACTACACACAGGCAGAGGGCAAGCACATGCGTCCTCTCATCGTTCTGCTCATGTCGAGAGCCACCGCCTTATGTCCCAAGGGTCCCCGGCTCCAATCTGGTCAAGCCATTGGTAGCGTTGATACGGCGATATCTCCCCCGAACATCCTCGTCGACGTCAATCCGAGCTCGCCCTTGACAAGCGCCGCCCCCGAGCCTGTCGAGACCGAATCTGACATCCTCCCGTCCCAACGCCGTCTGGCCGAGATCACCGAGCTGATCCACACGGCATCCCTGCTCCACGACGATGTTATCGATCACTCCGTCGCGCGACGCGGATCCCCTTCGGCGAACCTCGAGTTCGGCAACAAAATGGCTGTCTTGGCCGGCGACTTCCTGCTAGGCCGCGCATCTGTCGCTCTGGCCCGTCTGAGGAACGCCGAGGTCGTTGAGCTTCTCGCCACGGTCATTGCCAACCTTGTCGAGGGCGAGTTCATGCAGCTCAAGAATACTGAGCGGGATGAGCGTAAGCCAGTATGGTCGGAGGAGGCGCTCACCTACTACTTGCAAAAGACCTACTTGAAGACGGCTAGCTTGATCTCAAAGTCATGCCGTGCCTCGGCAATTCTCGGCGGGTCAGACGCTGCTTCAGTCGAGGCAGCATACGCCTATGGTAAGAACCTAGGCCTCGCATTCCAGCTGGTCGACGACATGCTCGACTATACACGTAGCGAGAAGGAACTGGGTAAGCCGGCCGGCGCCGACCTTGAGCTTGGTCTCGCGACGGCCCCTCTACTATTTGCGTGGAAGACGAATCCGGAATTGGGTGCTTTGGTAGGCAGAAAGTTCGAGCAGGAGGGTGACGTCGCCAGGGTAAGGATGCGCGCACGCAGCAAAAGACTTTTGGATTTGGGGAACGATCTGACTAACACGGTTTCAGGCACGCGAGTTGGTCCTCAAGAGCGACGGTATTGAGCAGACGAGGGCACTGGCCCAGGATTATTCCGAGCGGGCCATTGCAGCCATCAGCGAATTCCCCGAGAGTGAGGCCAAGGATGGTCTCATCGAAATGGCCATGAAGGCATTGAAGAGGACAAAATAAGCGACTGACGCGCTGGCCGATCAGAAACCTGTACAAAAAAAAACCAAAAATCCGGAGTGCACGCATTGTGGTAATGTGCGCTCAACACCACTGTACAACAGACCTTTGGGGCTCTTGACAGAGTACATGTAACGATATTATACATCTAGACGGCGCGGCGTGAGGCCAAGGGGGGAATATCATCGGGTTAGAGATGGCACAGGACTTGACTGCAATACCACAGACAACTTCCCTTTTTTTTTCGATTACGCAAACGGGGTTCGGCATACGTGCGCAAGGGATGATTTGCTGAAGGGAAAGATGATGATCCTGTGCAGGACAGCCTGCTGAATGGAACGCCAACGACCCTCACCTGATTGGGGAAGATGGGAAAGTCTTACTCGACCAGAATTCGGTGAGGTCTAGACGGCAGTCGTGACGGCAGGGTCCAGAAGAGAGAAACCGGCGAGCTCCGTGGAGAAGCGGTTTCCATTACGTTGCTGGATCGCTTCTAGATGCTCCCTTCTAGACGCAGCGTGGTAGAAGACGGCACTGTGATGAGATGCATGCATGGGTCGGTCAGGGACCTGCAAAGCTTATACGATAATAGTCAAGGCCCGATCCGATGCTCGCTGAACTCTGGCGCAGCCTGCTTGTTCTGAGAAAGGCGGCAACCTAGCAATTCGTCTAGACTTCCATCCGGAAAACAAGATTTCATAATCACAAACACGTCAAGCACGGTTCAAACAAACCATGCGTAGCTGCAATAGCCGCTGGACGTTCCGGAAACGAAGTATGGCTATAGGGATGGTTTCCCGGAGGTTGGTAAACGGATGAATGGTGTGATCGGAAGAAAGGGAGCCGGCTGTCGGGGCCGGGATCGCTCATCCCAACAAATGAGACATTCCTCGGTTGGAGATGACTCGGTCGTCTAGGAACTCCACGGGGGGCGGCGGCTGTGTCACGGCGGCGCCGGTTGTGTGGATCTTTTTTCTCTCATCTTTCATTCGTTGTCCATTATCGGTAGCCAAGATTGGGACACAAAGCGGACTTTTTCTACTGCCTTTATCGCGATGTCATCGAGTAATACCAAACTGCTGGCCAATGGCAGATGAAGAAGATGGGTTGTCACCAAATTCAAATTGGTAGTAATACGCGCCATGGCCGGAAAATGTCTTCACGAAAGAGAAAAAAATCAAGAAACTAGAGTTCCCGGGACTCGCGAGGCGCATAACATTGGCGGGCCAGATGCCCCAAATGAGCGGTGTTTTACTCGATCATTACTCGATCGAAACTCCCAAGTGAAGCTTAGACGACGCCTCGGGTGCAGCAGCGGCAGTGGAGCCCGAAGTAATAAGCACACCAACGCAGGACCAAGGCAGGGGGAGTCAAGGCTCTGGACCTGTCAGAAGGGCAAACCTGAGCCACGGAAAAACCAAAAACCAAAATCAAGCCTTCGATTTTCCCGAAAATGGCCGATGAAGAGTCAAGAACGGTGATGGGCCGTGTGGGCTTTGTTTGTACTTTTTGTGGTGGATTGTCAGTGTCAAAGACTCAAGGTACAGAGCAGAGGCATTTAAAGCAGCACATGCTTTTCCTCATTCGCTCAACCCGTGATGACTAAGGCGGTCTAGATCGGGAAACGGCTGTGTCCGACGACACATCCAGCCAATCAGCTTCGGCTGATAACGACAAGGGAAGACTTTCGACTTCTTTCAGGGTTCCCCGGGGGTCGCGTCGAGATTGTTCGATAGGGTCCCTTGAGCAAAGTAGCCCGGTGGGAGAAGGGTTTCGATAACGCACCCCACACGACGGACACGAACCCCAGTTGCAGAAAGCAGAGGCCGGCGGCACGGGGTTCAATGGTCACTATTGGAGCGCAGGTTGAGCCTTGAGGGGAGCGGGCTTTGAGTCGACTTGAAGAAGGTCGATGACGAGGTAGAAGACTCCCCGGCACCGGGGCCCGAAGGAGAAGGAGATGGCGGTGGGAGAGGGCTAAGCTACCTTACTATGTACTCTGAAGACTGAGTGAGGAGGGTCTTTTCCTCGTTGGGATTGGCTCAGTGGCTGGTCCCTTGAACTCCCGTGTTCCCCCTTTGTCAGATGTTCTTCCTGTCACCTCAGAGAACGTTATCTTATCAGAGAGAAGAACTGAAAATGGAAGCCCAGAAGAACGAATGGAAGGGGACCCGTCCTAATCACGTCTGGACTCTCGGGGTGGGCCGTGGATCGAGCCACGAACGGCTTTCCTCTGAGTGAGATTCGGACGGGGGAAGCTGTTCTTCTTCTTTCTCCCCTTCTTCTTTTCTCTCTTCTTTTCTCTACTCAACTTCTCCTTGAACTATCACCACATTGCCTTTCTGTGGACTCATAGTGATTCAAAACCACTACACAAGACCATTCACTTTTTGCTTGAGTGTTTATCTAGGTAGTCCTCACTAAGACCACCCAAACATCTTACACACCTTCAAACCCTTGAAAGCCACACCGGCCATATCTTATCTCTCTCATCACCCCGCCACCCCGCGATCAAGATAAGCTTCGCTCTTCTCCAGACGCAACGGCAAGCTATCCAAGAACGTCCACCGCGGGGAGAGCTCTTCAGATACCGCGGTATTTCCCTTATCGGACCTCCCTAAGCTTCCAAGATAAGCTTATCATAAACAACCCCTCCATCACTCTTCATCATGACGGCCTCTCAAGATACCACCACACCCCTCGTGGTCCTTGTCTCGACGCGGGCAGTCCTCACCTTTGAACAAGACAACCTCGTCCTCACACCCGCAACGATAACAGTCTCGCCCACCACCGGAAAGATCGTCAACATCGTCCCGGCAGTCCTGCCAAAGACCTCCTTCCCGGCCTCCACTGAGTACATCAACTACGGCTCAAAGCTCCTGTTACCTGGTCTCGTAGATGCTCATGTCCACCTCAACGAACCCGGCCGCACGGAATGGGAGGGTTTTTGGACGGGTACGCGGGCCGCTGCCTCTGGCGGTGTGACGACCGTCGTCGACATGCCTCTCAACGCTATCCCACCCACCACGACGGTGGCCGGCTTCAAGGAAAAGCTTGCTGCGAGTAAAGGACAGTGCTGGGTTGACGTTGGTTTCTATGGCGGTGTGATTCCCGGAAACGCTGATGATCTGCTGCCCCTTGTCGAGGCCGGTGTCAGAGGCTTCAAAGGATTCTTGATCGAGTCTGGAGTGAGTAGTATCCTGCACCGTCACTGCGTCGGCGGATTCACCCTTTGAGAGACTGTAAGCTGACAATGCGTTCCCCAACCAGGTTGATGAATTCCCAGCAGTCTCATCGCAAGACGTGGCCCTCGCCATGAAGAAGCTCAACGGCACACCCACGACGCTCATGTTCCACGCCGAGATGATCCCTCCCATCTCCGACTCGGTAGGCGACGCGGTCCAACAGTCGGAGCCGCCGCTGGCTCCCACCGGCGAGCTCAACTCATATAAGACCTTCCTCGAGTCCCGCCCGCCTTCGTTCGAGACGTATGCTGTCGAGGAGATCCTGTCCCTGGCCCACCTCGCGCCGGACCTCCACCTCCACATTGTCCATCTCTCAGCCACACAGGCCATCCCCCTGCTCAAGGATGCCAGAGCCAAAGGCATCAACATCACGGCCGAGACGTGCTTCCACTATCTCGGCTTCGCATCGGAAGACATTGCCGACGGCGACACCCGCCACAAGTGCTGCCCTCCTATTCGTGAGCGATCCAACCGCGACGGGCTCTGGGAGGAACTCGTGGCAAAGGATTCGTGCATCAAGACCATCGTCTCGGACCACTCGCCGTGTACGCCGCAGCTGAAGCTCCTCCCGAGCCACCTCGAGACTCGCACCCCGCCCGAAAGCCACTCCCCCAACATGCACCACTCGGATTCCGGTATCGATATGACGATCCCCGGCGAGAGCATGGACAAGATCCTCGCGGAGAAGACGCTAGAGGACGCGGCGGTGGCCGTGGCGGACGCGAGCTCGCGGGGCGACTTCTTCGCCGCGTGGGGCGGTATTTCATCCGTGGGTCTGGGTCTACCTATCGTCTACTCCGAGGCGGTGGCGCGCATCGCTGCTGAGGGTGAGAGTGCGGCGCCGTCGATTGTTGATATTGTGCGGTTGTGCAGTCAGTCGACGGCGAAGCAGGTTGGTCTTGCGCACCGCAAGGGCGCGCTCAAGGTTGGTATGGATGCTGATATCTGCGTGTTTGACGATGCGGACGCGTGGACACTCAGGTCTGGGGATATGCGGTGGAAGAACCGCTGCTCGCCGTGGGAGGGTCATGAGTTTGCTGGTCGGGTAAAGGAGACGTGGGTCAGAGGCCGCAAGGTGTTTGAGTTTGGAGGAAAGAATCTTGGATTTGTTGGTGAGAGCCCGGTTGGTGAGGCTATTACGGAAAAGCGCATGGCGTAGTCGAGCTGGGCGCTGGATGAGGAGAGAGGATTCATATGAAGAGTTGGATGAGAAAGTAAAAGAGAGAAAGATAGATCGTGACGAGAGCATTAGCCGGGTGATGATTTAATGAGGTCTGAATTAGGACAAATTGATAATGTAAAACAAAACCACTTCATGAACGTCAACTCATCATCACTAATCGTGATATGGAAAGGAATGAAATATGAAATATTGAACTGGATCTCAACTGCGAGGGCTGGGATGAATGTCATGTGCGTGTAGTGAGACATGATCCCAACCCCAGTTGGTGATTGGGCAGGTCTGATAACATTGAGCAGTAGCGACTTGAATGATAAGAATGGGCAACTTCTAGAAGTAACTTCGCTGCACAAGGTAGATATAAGGTAGCTTGCGAATGAAGAAATGCCATGTGTACATCGCCATGCCTCTTCAGTTTGCATGCTGTGTTACACTCCAGTCTTTGTTTTCGAAGACAATGGAATGGAAGCTGAGTGAGAGCCGCGGGGTTGATGCTCCTCTAATGCGCCACGCCTTTGACTGGTGATGATGTAACTTGAGTACCTAACTAAGTACTGAGGTCCCTACCTGTGCCGGCCCTGAAGGTACGAGGGGTACCAAAGGGGGGAGAGACGGGGCGGCCCAAGCTCCTGGTCAGTGGACCGTGTTCCTTCCTTCATCGCCATCCTACCGTAATTGTGGGTCCACCTTCCACTCGCGTTTTTTTTTACTTCGTCAACGGCACCTCGTACGCGACCTTATCTTGGTTGTGGAAAGCACCAATCTGGAAGGAGCAAGCACCTTCTCATAGAGGGAAGCTCCCCAGCGCGCTTTCCTTGCGACGACCCTTCTCGGCCCCTCCTGCCAGTCGTCCCTTCCCAATTGTCCTGCGTTCCTGCGCCGCCGGTCGCCCTGGTGGAAATTTCACCATGTTCAACTCCATCTCGAGAATCTTCAACCGATACACGCCCACCAAGAACTCTTCGCCTGGACCTACCAGACCAACCCGCGACGAAAGCGAAGATCGGATATTCCCTTCAACTGCGCCGGCCGAGTACCCCGACGGAATTGACGACAGACTGTTGGGCAGAATGGCGGACGAGGACGAGACCGGTCTCGACACATTTAACGACTACATCGACCCGTTTTCTTCCATGGTCCCTTTCTCGACCCAAGCGAACGATGGAGGGGGTGCTGCGGATGCCGCGTATCCTTCCGACGAGGACCATAGCGTGAAGAAACGAAAGTCCAAAAAGTCCAAGAAGGACAAGAAGGATCGCAGCAAGAAGGGCAAGAGCAAGGCGACAGACCCAGAACACTCGGATCCAGGCCCCTCATCTTCCATCTTCAGTGGCCAAATTGGACCTTCCAGTGACGCCATTGTGGCCGATGACGATATCACTTCTTCGCCTCAACTGAAGAAAAAGCGCAAGCGTGAATCGGATAATCCTAGTGCGCTAGGCGCGTCGCACTCGTCGGATCGGAAAAAGAGAAAGAAGAAGAAGAAGACGCGTCGTTCTCTCGAAGATGTCGACATGGAGGACGCCGAGCCCGAGGATGTTGTGCCTGAGTCGCCCGAGGACACCAGCATCGCCCAAGCTATCGTTCACAGCCCCGCCTCCGAGGCCGATCCCCTCGAGATCAAATACGAGTCACAGCAGTCGCAACTGCTCGGTGTCCCCAGGCCATTCTTTACTCAACCTTCCGGCACACCTGTGTTGCCAAGTCCAGATGACAACGAGTCCGATGATGGCCAGAACGGACCGGCGTCTTCACCCAGTGTTGCAGCGCAGAGGCGCAGGAGCATGTCACGGGGATCTCAGATCTCCCTCCTACGACAGAGCCTTGCCAAAGAGGCCGCAGCTCAACCGCACGATACGGCAAAAGCCGTGGAGTCTACGGACGACGCAATGGAGGAGGACGTGGCAACCGCCTCAGAGGAGGAGGATTCGGCGGAGGCCGCTCAACGAACCTCGCCAATCGTCGAACCACCTGAAGATGATACATTCGATCGGGACAGTGTTGATAGTGACCAAGACGTGGATATGGACGTAACTGCGAACCAGCCTTCTTCGCCGGGATCTCTCGTCGAGGATGACGAGGACGCACAGTCTGGTCACGGGTCCTTGGCCGATGGTCTTCCCCCGTCATCACAAGCCCCGAGAGAAAGCCCGTCAAGTACACGCAGCGAAGACATGGAGGAAGAGGCGGAGGTCGTCCCAACCCCTCAGCTGCCAATCAAAACTTTCCGCGATGCACTCCGAGGTTCAGCCAAAAAGCTCACTACTTATTCCAAGAAGGATGCAGCTGTTGAGAGGCCGGCCACGACGCCGCGAGCTACTCGACGTCGCAATGCCCAGCCAGACGAAGAACAGCCCTTTGATGTTGGCAACTTGCCTAGTTCGGCTCAGAAGTCTACCCGCTCCACGGCATCCAAGAAGCAGCGCTCCAAACCGGACTTCTTCGAAAAGTCAACATCAGTCCAAGAGACACCAGAGAATCTCGAGGTGGCAGGGAGTGCGGCTCGTGAGATCCAAGAGGACGGCGAGGATCAGGAGCCCGAAACTGAAGAAGCCCCAGTCAAGAAGCCAGCATCGACCAAGACCGCAAAGCCTCAGATGAAGCTCAAGAAACCCAAACACACAGTTGCCTCTCGCACACCCGCAACCGCCACACCAAAGCCCGTAAAGGCGAAAACGCCAAAGAAGGCTCCCCAGCCCAAGGGAGCGCCTCAGGGACCACCTGAATATATCACCGGCCAATTCTCCCATGAAGAGATGCGCAAGCTCAGAGAAGTTGTCGAGAAGTATCGAGAAGAGAACGACCTGTCACAAGAGGAGATGAACAATCTTATCCAGATGAAGCAGCGCACAAAACTGTCTAAGACGGCTATCCCATATGACAGCGAGAAATTCCTCCACCTGTGGAATTACATTTGTGCCGCTCTTCCTGACCGGCGCCGCCAGAAAACTATCGATGTTGCTCGCCAGAATTTCCACAACTTTAAGGCTCGCGGAGGAGGATGGACTGCCAAAGAAGATGTTAAGCTGGCGATGCTGTACGCCAAACATGGTAATTGCTGGATCAAAATTGCAGAAGAGCTGGGTCGCCACGAGAAGGATGTTCGCGACCGCTACAGGAACTATGTCATTTGTGGCCGCACTGAAGGCCGCAATTATTGGACCGAGGAGGAAGAAAAGGAATTGGTTCAGCATGTCATCACCTTGCTCAGACGGACGGACCGGTCACCTTCGAAGATTCAACAGCCTTACGAACCCATGATCAACTGGCAGACGGTCAGTGAGCTGATGGGCCGCAAGCGCACTCGTCTGCAGTGCATGAGAAAGTTCAAGACCCTCAACGTGGAACTTACCCCCAGCGAAGTTCTGAGGTCTTCGCGCCCCGCGTCAAAGGTCACCTGGACTTTGGAGAAGGCCCGCAAGCAGATCCAAGAAATGCCGCCCGAAGATAAACACAAAATGGTCCGGGCTATTCTGGCAGGAGGCGCCGGTCGCGACCGATTGATTCAATGGACGAAGCTCGCCGACTTGGAATTCCGCAGGAAGTGGCCTAAGAAGACTCTCCATTTGCTATGGTATCGTCTAAGGCAGCGTGTCCCCGATCAAAAGGAAAAGTCAGTTAGAGACTGTGCCCGTTGGTTGCTGGAGGATGCCAAGGCGAGTGGCCCCCGAGGTGCCAAAATACTCGGCGGAGGGGATACCAACTATGATACCGAGACCGAGATGGCTGTTGTTGATCCTCCCAAGAAAACCAGCCGTCGAAAGAGCCTGAAAAATGAGCCACGCAGTGCTGAACTTGTGGTTGACAGCGACGACGCTTCCGACGACGAGAACAACAACAAAGACGATGACGACAACGTCTCTGAAGCCGATGAGGATGATGAGACCAGGCTGACAGAAGGTGATTCTCCGTCTACACGGCAGTCATCAGCCCAATCGAATCGACTCCTGACTGATTCTATATCGGATGCTCTCTCTGCGTCTCCATCTCTCCAACCTGCTGGCATTTCCAGGCTTCTCCCCGTCGAAGCGGAAGACGCTAGGCCTAGCCCTGCTAAGAAACGTGTCAGGCTTTCTGGAGGAACTTCATCCAGACAACGGTCTATGGAGAATGATGGCAGTTCACCAGAGCCAGTCGCCTCACAGTATGCGGCCGAGAAGATTCCCGACCGCCTCAAAGAGAAGAGAGAAAAGGCCAAGAGGCGTATCTCTTCCGGGATCAGACTTCGAACAGCGGCATCACTGCAACCGGAGTCGGTGCAGAACAGCGATGTTGACGAAGACATGCCACCGATTCGCGTCCCACCTTCCACAGCACCCGCATCTGTCAAGAGCAGAAAAGCGGACAGGCGGGTGGGCGACTGGGCCAGAAAGACTGGAGGCCCCGAGCCGCCAGGCCTGCCGGCACCAGTCAGCGACGAAAACGATGAAGACATGTCGCCGGCTCCCGCCCCGCCCTCGACCGCTCCCTCAGGGTCTAAGGGTCGGAAGAGAGCAAACAGACTAAGGGACTGAATCAGCTAGTGGACAGCTTGGGTTGCGATTTCACGCTGCGATGGACGTGCAACTAGATTGTTGTACAAGTTTCACATCTTCTCAAGTCACTCGAGTAGTGTGGTAGTGTACATGATGATACCCCGCGAGGCTGAGGTACGATGTTGACTCGAGAGTCGTTATTGATGGATAAGGTTTAGTGGCCAGGGTGCCGCAGAGAATACTATCAGAGCGGTCAACGTTCTGGGCCAAAAGCAATGGCAGGCCACAGCATGGGCAAAGCAGGTTCAGGCACGTCACACAGCATTTGTTATGAGGGTTGTTGTTCGGAGTGGATATCGATTGTTCAAGGATGGGAATTGTACATAGCTTAGTAGCTGCGAACCCCATCATTATCGAATGGTTCAAAACAAGTTGTTTTGAAGCTCTCTCTCAGATGTCAAATTCCCACGTTCCATTGTACTTTGTGGAATCGTCAGTTGAGTTGTTTGTCGTGAGGAATTTACGTCATTGGTCATGACTCGTCGGTGGCCAGTCGAACCACCCGAACGATAACGAGGTTTGAATTTTTTTCACTCAGTGATTTTTCCTAAGCCTAGTGGAATGTCGTCATAGGACGACTACTTACTCATGAATCAGCTACCGCAGCTATCTCGCAACTGAGAATCTGTTTCGCGCCTAGTCGATAAGCGGCCATCAGCAGTAATCCAGCTTTATCTCCGACCGTCACGGATCCATCTGCCCACTTTTTCAACACCCGTGCCGCTGTCGCCGTCACCGTAGGGCTGTGACGTTCCGTGGCGAGAGACGATGTGTGTGTACTCTATACCGTGACAGCGTCCAGGATTTTTTGGGAAGTACGGTCAATAAGGTAAACCCGCGGGATGAAGTGGTGGGATGGATAATCGGCTCTCGCCCGAGAACGGGGGAACCCAGCGGGATGGGAAAGGAACTTGTTCCCCATGTACGGAGTACGTGCGTGTCAACTGGGGGTTGACTGATGCGTGCTTTTGCAGCGCTGTACACGTGTACTGGAGAACCCGATGAAGCTGTGATGACAAAGTCGTGTACTTACCCAAATGGCGAGTCCCAGGGCAGTGGGAGAAGGGGTGACACACAAAAAAAAAAGAGTGTGACAGCCACGCGCTCCGAGCCCAAGACGCGACGTCATCCGGGGGAGGTGATGTATAGAATTTCTAGAATGATTCAACATGTGTGAATCTTCCGACATCTGGGGAAAGAATAACGGGGGGTTCCCGAAGACAGCACTGCATGCGTTTCTGTACCACGGCCATTCCGTGCGGGGTCTTCTTTCTTCTCCATCGCGCGTTATCGGATGTCATTGTCACGATGGCTTCACGTAGACAGTACTCCGGAGCAAGTTCTGCGCGACGCGCGCGTGCGGAATTTTCTCTCTAGAATCAAAAGTTGTTCCGTCGCGGAGGGAGTCGGCGCGACACGGGTGTCTGCAAACGGTCCTTGTCGGATCGGTATCGAATTTTGGCCCGAGTCAGGACGACCTAAGCACCTTGACACTGGAAGTAGGTAGATCAGCAAACGCCGAGAGATCGGAGAAACATCTGGAGGCGATCATTCCGGGCGTTGCGGAGAGGCAGAAGTAGAGAAGCTCCAGTGGTTACGGGTAGCATTGGCAATTGTTGATGGGGAGGCACTGGTATTAGTATCGGCGTCGGCGATAGCAGCATCAAACATCGCGATTGTCACCGACCATTCAAATCCGTGGAAATGCGCGCGATGGACAGTCTCGTTCGCAACAGATGGGAATCTAGAGTGAGTGGAGGGTACGAAATACTTTCGAGGCTGAGAGCGGAAAGCACAAAAAGGGAAAGACGAGCCTCAGCCTCCAGCAACCTCACCGTGTAAGAACCTGAAAAGTTGAACGTCGAGCTCACGGAAAACCTCCGATCAGACCACCGGATTAAAAGCGGGACACTCAGGGACCGACCGCAGCGGCGTGGCCGCACTTCGGGCCCTTATGGTGGTTTTACGGATAGTTGATGGGGCGGAGGGGTCCGCCGCGATGAAAGACACTCACAGTCTCACACGGTACACCCCTCTCCCCCCCCTGGGCGGATCCGCATTCAAGGCGTCCGGCCGAGGTGAGGCGAGAATTTGCGCGCGCAATGGGCCACCTTTTTTCAGAAAAGATCCGAGTTAGTGCCTTGAGATCCAATTTGAGCCACAGTCTTTCATGGACTGTTTATCACCTACGTGGCAATGTGGTGAAGTTTGAGCCTAGAGGCAGTTGTGTGAGCCACAGCTTCTCAAGTGAGGTGGCTTGACCTTACCACGGTAGATTGAGCCTCGAGATGTTTCACGATAGATTCGTCCATCGTGAGCTTCACCACCAGTGGTAAGTCATTTGCTGTCTTGATATTGACCACTTCTCGCTCAAATTTCTGTACAATCCCCCCTTCCACCACTCCGTAGCTCCTCATGCCCACTTCTCATTCAACCGTGAAGCAAATTTTCATGGTCTCGTGTCGTTGCGAGTTCCTCACTTGTCGGCCCTTTTCCTCTCGCGTGCAAAGGAGACGAGAAGACTCTTACCACAATACTCCATCATACCCTCCCTTTTCCCTCACTCTGGGCCTCTGGGACTGGGAGTTTCCACATATCGTGAATGACCAGGCCGTGTACGCAGTAGGTAGCGGTTGCCATTTGGCCGGCAGCACATTTCGTCGCTGTTTCGCATAGCTACGTTACTCGTAGCTGGCGTAGGATGGGGCTCAATACTCGGCGTGCTCTCGCGGTAATCGTGGAGTCGTGGCCGAGTCTCGGTGCTTTTCTGGTTCTCTCATGTCTCTCGTTAGAAGGTAGACTCCACGACTCCCCATCGTGGACCAGACCAAGGGGATGCCGGCCGGTGAAGTGGGTTGTGCAATGATCTGGCTCAAGGGACGAGACTCGTCGAGCCGTGAGCCGCATCCATAGCCCTCAATAGCTCCTATAGCTCTCATGTTTCTCTGGTCTTTCATTCGACGAGCCACGAGTATCTCTCGCTACAACCCTCCCCTCTCACTCTCCGAGACTCTGCCTCCCGTTGAACGTTGACCAACAGTGGCGCCAACGGTATGCATACCTAGTAGACGGTCGGCGGTTATCAGGAACCAGGCGCGCTAGAAGCAACGGGAGCAAGCCACAGAGCGAGGGACAGATACGGATACAAGGTGTCCAGGCGTATCTGCGAGCTAAGGCAGCCTAGTAGGGGCGTGTCGCGGCGGCATCTGCTTGCCGGGCCGAAGAGGACCAACAGGGTTCAGGGGGTGGGGGTCCCGTCAGCGGACAGGGGAGGAGATAACATTTTTTCTTTACAGTCAAGCAGTAAATGCCAGATGGAAAACAAGAAGAAGAGCGTGAACTGTGAAGAGAAAGGGCAAGGTGGATGGGGCAGGGGTGCAGGGGTCAGCGTCTAATCGGACCTTGCGTGGGCCAAGCTGCCATGCGATGCCATGCGGCTGCGTTGTGGACTTGTGGTTTTCTTTCGCAGTCATTGCAGTCATTGCAGCCTTTGCAGCCCTTTGTGGTGAAGGTTGTTATTCTCGTGATCTGACATGACCGTGGTGCATATGTCGGTCCGGAGAATGAGGTCTTGACCGGACGATGTGATGCGTAGCTCGGGGAAATTTTTTTTTGATTTTTTGATTTTATGATACGATGGTATGGTCAAAGTGTGCATGTCGTGGTAAACCGGGTCTGCATCGTGTTGATACCTATTCGGAGTATGTGCGGTGCAACTATTCAAAAAACCACAAAATCCATGATATTCCCAGAATCCCAGTGACAGACCATGGCATGCCAGATGGCAGATGCCGCCCGTGCAGTGGAGATCTACCTTACCGTAAAGTACGTACCCGGGAAGGAAGATGCGGCGACGGCACGGTACTTGGGCCCAAAATGTGGATGCCCTCTTATTTTATTTTTTTTCAAGTGGTTCTCTGCTTGTTTCCCTTTCCCTTCATTACTATGCATGTCCCTGTTTACCACGTCGGTTTCTTTCCGCATCTAAGCATACGTGGACGAACAAGTGCATCGTCTGATGTTATGATGTGAGCGAATGTGGCTCCAGGGCTCCAGCGATCTTTTCTCGAAGAAACGGAATGGTTCAATCGAAGGGCAGGGAACCTGACTCTCTCTCCCGTACTTGTGTATGACAGACCTGCACGTTAAGCTTTCAGTTTGTCAGTCCATCAGTCAGCCGTGCAGCATATCCTGTTCGCGATGCTAGCAATGCTACTGTGTACCTAGGTAGAGCGTAGGCCAAGCAAGGCCAGCCGCCAAGCCGTCGTCACTGTCACTCAATCAATCAAACTCCCGTCCCTCCATGGCATGGCGCGTACCAAGATGATCAAGGTTACGTGCCTCTTCACAATTCCGTGGTGCGGTGGCACGGTGGTATGGTGGCAGCATACGCGACGGGACCTGCATCGGTGCATCCTGACCCTGACGTCAATCGGAGGCTTCGGGATCTCCACCAACAACGAATGAAGTTCTGGACAGCGGGCGGATCATCTCGTGCAATTCCGCACTAGAGAGATTCCAGCAGCACGCCAAGGATAAAGGGTCCGATTAGTGTAATTGTGGCCCGTCCAATCTGGGCCTTGACTGCTTTCTGGATTTGTCGCCCTGCCTCTGCCTGCAACCACGAACACAGATCCTGGACAGGGAAGCCAGATCCATTCGGCGAGTTCCAGCTATCACCGCGAATAATTTGTGGTGACCCTGCCGCATACGCCGTCGTCTCGGCCTCTTTTCGAAAGTCTGGTCTGCGGTCCCTGTCACCTTGCCTTTTGCTTGAACCACCACCACTCTCTGTAGTGCTCACTGCTCGCTCACACCGGGGAGCCTCATGTTTAGACCGACTCCTCTTAGTGGCCGAGCATTGGACCGAATAATTGCAATGAGACTCGACGTCAATCATCAGCTCACGGGGCGCACCCCTTCCCTTGCCCACCGTACCCCCTAGTGCACCGTGCACGCCAGATCCAGTTCCTTGACGGTGTCGGGTGCTGGACGGTGCCACGGTGGTTGCTTGAAGCTCAGCTGCGTCGGCCGGAGGTACTCGGCGCAATGTACCACCAACGTCACTCGTGAGGCTCGCGACACGGCGAGAGCTATGGCCATCCGGCCCATCGGCGGCGGTCCCACCGTCCCAAGAGGTTCCAGAGGTTCCTCCCAAGGTACCTAGGTAGGCCCTCTCACTACAACCACAACCGTCAATTTTCAAAGTCACCCTGGTCCGACATGTCACCACGGTCACGGTATTCTCTCTCGCGACTCTCCGCCCGCGAGACGACTGGGCCAGAACCACCACTACCACCACGTCGTTCTTCACCCGGTCTTCACCCGCCATTATCCCACAGTCCAGCCCACACACGTACGTTGCTGCCCGCACTTTTCTTGGTTCGCCCACGGGCCCCCGACTTGTCCGTTTGATGCATGTTGTTGTGGACTGTGGGAGTGTGTGGGAGTGTGGGTTAGCCAGTACCAGCAATGTGGGTATCGTTTTCTTCCTTTCCTTTCGTTTTTTTTTTTTCGTTGTTTAGCAAGCAAACCAAGATGTCCATGCCCACCCTGGCTGCCCTGCTTGGTCAGAGACGTGATCATGAGGCATGAAAAGCACCTTTCCATCAGTCAAAGTGTGGAAACGCATGCGGAGGCATACGGGGATATACGGGGAGTGAAATGGGTTCCCAATGGGTGAGAACGGGGTGAGCATCTGCTCATTCCTTCCTTGCTTGCTTCCTTCCCTTCTTCGCGCCTTTCGTCGTGCTTTCCGCCATGCCATGCCATGTCGTGCAAGGCAAGGTACCTCTCCTTCCGTGCTTCCTTCCATACCTTGGCCAAGTACCGAAATAAGGTGAGCACCTACCTTATGGTACATACCTTACCTTAGTAAGTACTAGGTAAAGTAAGTAACTTGGGTAAGGTAGGAAGCAAAGTGAGGAAGGTACGAACCGGAAAGTAGGTACGTCCCAACCCGGAGCCGTGGTCGCGAGACCCAGTCCCCGGGCACTCCCCAGTCACGCCGTACCTTCCCAGTCAACCCAGACTACTCCGTACCTTACCTATGGAACTGTGGGAAGGACCTGCTCGTCTCCTGACCTCTTTCCTCTAATACAAAAAGAATCCTTTCCTTCCCCCATCGTTTACTCTTGGCCCCCTTTCCTCCTTCCCATCCCACACTTCTCCAGACTAATCAGAGTTTTATCTCAACTACCTTGTCCCTCTCCACACCTCAACAGCTCAAGGCAGGTATAATACCTTCCTTCCTCCCTCTTCCTTCTTCTTGAAGCAGACACCCAACAACCTCAACACCAACAAGAACCTCGTTCTCACCCAGAGACATCATCACCCTCGGAACCAACAGACTTATCTCTCCCGCCTCTACATCCTCCCCTGGATCGAGAACACCAAACCCACCCCCACATCATCCATCCCCATATCGACGCACATCGTCAGCATCGCCCATCATGCAGTTCCCCAAGCTCGGTGGCAAGGGCGTAGAGCATAAGGACCGGACGGAAGCCGACGCTCCCACCTCGGACTCCAGCTCCGACATCACGGCTGAGCAGAAGATTACCTTCGCCGCCGCTTTCCTCGGCCTCGTTGCCAGTATCGGTGGTTTCATGTTCGGTTATGTCAGGTATGTCTTACTTCCCCGGAGAAGGGGGGGGGGGCACCTCTCCGCCCCGCCCTCCTCCTTCTAAGACCTACATGTCTCGCCGGCCGTTCCGTTTGCTGACCCTTTGTTCCTCACAGTGGTCAGATTTCCGGTTTCTTCCTGATGGAAGACTTCATGCAGCGCTTCGGTGAGCCCCAGGATGGCACCTACGTCTTCAGCGCCGCTCGCCAGGGTACCATCGTCGGTCTCTTGTGTATCGGCTGTCTCGTTGGTGCTCTTACTGCCGGCAAGCTCGCCGACACTCTCGGCCGTCGCATGACCATCTCGCTCTTTGCCTTCTTCTCCTGCATTGGTATCGTCATCGAGATCTCTTCCACCACCAAGTGGTACCAGTTCGCCATTGGCCGCCTCGTCAACGGCGTCGGCATCGGTGCCCTCTCCGTCGTCGTTCCCATGTACCAGTCCGAGTCTTGCCCCGCCATTATCCGCGGTGTCATTGTCTCCACCTACCAGCTCTTCATCACGCTCGGCATCTGGCTCGCCGAAATTGTCAACTTCGCGACCCACAACAAGGCCGGCTCTGCCTCCTGGCGCATCCCCAACGGTCTCGGCTTCGCCTGGGCCCTCATTCTCGGTGCCGGTATCCTCCTCCTTCCCGAGTCCCCCCGTTACGCCTTCCGTCAAGGTCGTGAGGACGAGGCTCGCCGCAACATTGCCAAGCTTGCCGGAGTCGAGCCCAATGCCGCCTCTGTCAACCTCCAGATCGATGAGATCCGGGCCAAGGTCGCCGAGGAGTCTGCTGGCGCCGACACCAGCATCTGGGAGATCTTCACCGGCCCCCGCATGTTCTACCGTACCATTCTCGGAATTGTGCTTCAGGCCGGTCAGCAGCTCACTGGCGCCAACTTCTTCTTCTACTTCGGAACCACCGTCTTCTCCGCTACCGGTCTCAGCGACAGCTACGTCACTCAGCTCATTCTTGGATCCGTCAACGTCGCTTGCACCTTTGGCGGCCTGGTTGTTGTCAAGAAGTCTGGCCGCCGTATTGCTCTCATCGTCGGTGCTCTGTGGATGATGATGTGCTTCTTCGTCTACGCCTTTGTCGGTCACTTCGCTCTCGACACCGTCACCCCCTCCAACACCCCCCAGGCCGGCGCCGTTCTCGTTGCCTTCTCTTGCCTGTTCATCGCCGGTTTCGCCACGACCTGGGGTCCTCTCGTCTGGGCTGTCGTCGCTGAGCTGTACCCTGCTCGCTACCGTGCTCCCGCCATGGCTCTTGCCACCGCCTCCAACTGGCTCTGGAACTTGTAAGTACCCCTGACTTTCAACTGCAAAAACTATCAACTGACTCCTTCTCAGCCTCATGTCCTTCTTCACCCGCTACATCACCGATGCCATTGACTACCTCTACGGTCTCGTCTTCGCTGGCTGCTGTGCTGCCCTGGCTGTCATTGTCTTCCTCTTTGTCATCGAGTCCAAGGACCGCACTCTCGAGGAGATTGACACCATGTACGTCCAGCACGTCAACCCCATCACCTCTGCGAAGTGGCGCGGCGAGGTGCACAAGCACCACCACGAGTCCGCCAGTGAGGAGGAGAAGGTCAATGCCACTGCCTAAGCGCATTGATTGCTTTGGCGTTTGAAATGTCTTGTGCATTGGAAACACCGCAAACATACACACATTGCATTCTGTTCCCCTGGCTTTCTAGGCCAGAGAAAAAAGACCTGTATCATACAAACTTCATTGCGACGGCGTTGGGTGGCATCTTGTATTCTTAAGAGAAATCGTTCATGAGGAATGAGAATTATTTAATTGATCAACATTCAAAAGACTTTGGTGCATACAAGTGATACATGTCTATATTACGGATCCGACGCAGGAGGATTGATTCGGTTACTGGGTTGAATGGTCATAAGAAGGCTTAGGTGTTATAGAGATGTACTTCACTTGTCCTTTTCAAGCTCATTAGACAATATCAATAAGTTGTTTATGTATTGGAGTTATGTCTCTGTGGCTTGCCCTCTTCTATGTCTAAAGGACGAGGGCTGGGAGCCGATGTATGTCTGCCTCCTTTCCGTGTTACCGGCCCCCACCAACGATTACCAGATGATATGATACCATTGAAACTAGGCCACGTTGGTTCAACAATTGTGAGGAAGGCTGAGCGCAACGGAGCGCAGCTCCGCGACGCCTAGCAAGTATCTGACAAGCCAGATCTCGTCTTATGTATCAGGTTCAAAAAGGGGTCATTGTATGCGATGCCAAAGTCACACAGTTGAACTCAATCCCCATCCCTTCATCTTCTCCATCTCAGTTACCTCACTTGCGCAACTTGGCAACAATGGCGTTATACGCAGGCTTGGGGTTCCAGTTCTCGTCAAAGAGCAGGGGCTTGGCGGTGGCCATCCACGACTGCTTGTCGCTGACGCCCCAGACGGTGACGCCCTTGCACTTGGGCACGTTGAGGCAGGCGCCGACGACGGTGGCGTAGTCGTTGGGGGGCGCGCCGGGGATGTCGAGCTCGGTGATGGCGATCTCGGAGGCGCGGGAGCGGGCGAGGGCTTCGAGGGCGGCTTGGATGTTGCCGGACATGTTTGCTGCCAGGTGGGCCTGAGAGCCTGTGTGGTGTTAGTCGTCCCTTGGTTTTGTCTAAATTGTTTGACCCCCGTCTCTCATGAATGACTCTCCGTCTTTGAGCATCTTCATCTACGGAGTACTTCTCCATGGGGCTGAGGGGGTGGAGGTAACTAGAGGTAAACTCACCGATACCGTCAATGGGGATGCCCTGCCCAATCCACTGGTTCACCTTGTTCACCATGGCCGTGACCTTGCCCCAGCCGGCGTTGTCAAGGTTGTAGTCGTTAATGTACAGCTTCGCCGCGGGATCCGCGAGGCGCGCGGCGCGGAAGGCGACGCCGATGTACGCTTCGCCCAGGACGTTGGAGAAGGCCGTGCTGCGGATCGTGCCGTTGTCGTTGAAGGCTTCGTTTACGACGTCCTGTGCATTGTCAGTTTACGGTGAACTCATACTCATACCAGATGTGTGAGAACGGAGAGGAACCGTTTCAGGGAAGTCAAAAACATACCCATGACCTGATCTTGCCCTTGTACTTGCCCACAATCGTCTTGACGTGCGTCTCAATCACCTTGGTCATGGTCGCCTTGTCCTTGATAGCAGACACCCACGCCGGCAAAGCCTGATGCCAGAGCAACGTATGGCCCCTAATGCTCTTCCCGTTCTGTTGCGCAAAGTTGACGAGGAAGTCCGAGTTTGTGAAATCAAAGTTGCCCCGCGTCGGCTCGGTGGCGTCCCACTTCATCGAGTACTCGGGCGTCACCTGGCCGAAATTCTGCTGGATGACGGCGGCGGTCTTGCCCTGCTGCATGATGCCATTGTCGCCCGAGACGCCAATGTAGAGCTTGCCCTTTGCTTTGAAGAGCTTGTCGATGCTGGTGGGGGATTGGCGGGTGAGGAGGTGGGCGGCGGCGTGGTGGCCTCGGGCGGCGTGAGAGTGAGAGTGAGAGTGAGAGGCCGCGGTGTCGTCGGCGGTGGGGAGGCCGAGGACGGCGAGGGGGGCTAGGAGGAGGGGGAGAGAGAACTTCATTGTGTCTTCTTCGTTTTTGGTTATTGTTGCCTTATCCAAACTGGCGCGGATTGTGTGTGTTTTTACAATGAGTGTCTATGGGTTGCGTAGTTATGATCTAGAATGAGCGTCTGGCGAAAGGAATGAATGACTAAATGAATGAGAAGAAGCAAACACTTTGAAGGAGAAAGGCATTCAAGCAAAGCGCCTAACTGTGTCTGACAAGCTCCG